TATTCATTTGACTCCAAGCTTTGTACACATATTTTAAGCTTTATGAACAGAAATTGACTGCCGGAGATGATCCTGTTGAAGCATTTGTTCTTTCTGCTGAAGCAGCGGTTGCTGGTGCTGAATCAACTAAACACATGCTATTTTTGGTAAAGAGAAATAGTAAACTTAAAATCAAATCAAAACCTAACACGAGTCATCATGTATTGAACTCAGATCTTATGTCCATTTCGTTTCGTAATGCTAAAAAAATGGTGATGTGACATTGCATTTAGAAAAAAAGTGATTCTTTCAGAAAGTAGAGCAAGAAATTGTGATATGACATTGTCTTTGGAATAAGAGTAATGCCCCTTTGATAAGCCATTTTTTTATGAAAGTTGGGAAAAAAATTCATTTTCTTGCTTTTAGCTTGTTTGATAGGCAATATTTTCTCACCCCCACGCGTACTTTTTCCTTGATTTGAGGGAAAACATTTTCCCACCATTTTTGGTGGGAAAATGCAATTTCACGTTTTTTTTTTTTTTTGGCAATGGAAACAAATTTCATAACAAATTGTAAAAATTTTTTCACTTTAATGGATAATTTTCATGTAAAACAAAGCCAAACGAACATTAAACTTTGATTAAAAAAAATGATTTTTTAGGAATTTGTTTTTACATTTTGACAATAGAAACAAAGTTTATAACAAATTGTGGAAAAAGATAGCACTTTAATGGATAATTTTCATGTAAAACAAAGCCAAATGAACACAAAATTTAAAAAAATTTCGGGTGGAAAATTATATCAATCAAACACACTTAATTAACAATTACATACAAAACAATTTCCAGTCAATTATTTTCTTTCGAATTCATTTTTTTCCATCTATTTTCCACCCTTACAATCAAACGGAAGAAATTCTTTAAACAATTGTGATGTGACATATTTAGGAGGAAATTAGATCATATAGATCCCGTTTGATCACCATTTTTTTCAAAATACATTTTTTTCTCTATTTTTTTCAACTACAAATTTATAATAAAATAATATTACACGCAACCCATAAACTTTTCCTTCATTTTTAACCACGCATTCTTTATCAATCTACTGTTCCAAAATACATTCTACGTGAAAAATGGAGCTCAAACAGACCCATACTCTAAATATAAGACCCATTTGAAAAATCAAGAAAAATGTAATTAGAAAGTATAAAATACTATCACTCTTGCATTAATTTTAACACATTAACAAAGTAAATCATAATACTCTTATTTCCCACTTTCATATTTTCCTCTCTATCTCTCTCGATACATCAATAGAAAATTGTGAAAGTTGGTGGAGGAAGAGAGAGATACAGAGAAAAGCGGAGACACGGATGGAATCGCCACCTTTAACGGCCACCACACTCTTGATCTTGTGCCTGTGAAAGATGCGAAGACGATTCCATCGACTTTTCCCAAAATAGACTTCACATTATATTAATTCTCATTTTGATTATCTCTTTTTTTTTTTTGACGTAGGAACTCGCAGCCGCTACTCGTCAGCAGAGCCACGATCACCCCGAAGGGACGGATGCTCGACCACTGTAAGTGCGCATTAGGTAAATCTCGCTCCATGTGCAGTAGCCCACAAACTACACAAGAGAGGTAAACCGCACTAGGCAAGCCCGATGCGACGGGCTCGACTGAGGAAGTGTTGGCAGCGGATTCGAACTCGTGACCTTTGGTCTTCACGTTTACCTGTTTCATAAACTCGGCCACCCCCGAAGGGGTTTTGATTATCTCTTATTTGTTGTGCAGTGTTCTTGTTATTGCTACTGTAACTCTGTATCTATTGCAACTATGTTGCCTTTTTGGTAGCTTTTGTCTTTGACTAAAATATGAAAATCCATAAACTGTCAGTCGGTAACGTGAACATGTTACTTTTTAATTTAAAAGTCTCACAACATTTTATTAAATATGAAATACAACATTGTATTTCTACTCATATACTATGGAGTGATAGAATGTTGGGAGTTGCGAAATGTGAGATTCGAGTGAAGGTATAGTGGGAAAAATAGACGGTAGACATGGGGGCTGAATGTTGATTAAGCTACTCTCAACAAATAGCTTAATTCTGATGCAATGTTACCTTGTTCTACTGATTCTCCATGTTCTACGACAACTACCCTCTGCACTCAAACAAT